TTATTTTCCATTTCCTCTTCCTGTAATGCTTTGGCGAGGATGTTTTGAAGAGATGGTTTTCTAGCTGCGAATTCTTTAAACTTTTGTTTATCGTGGAAGGTTTTAATTTCATCCTCCATCCTGAAGCTTAATTTCACTGGATACACAATTCTTGGTTGGAACCCATTTTCTTTCAGTGTTTGAAATATGTTATTCCAGGATCTTCTAGCTTTCAGAGTCTGTGTTGAAAGATCAGCTGTTATCCTGATTGGCTTACCCCTAAATGTAATCTGCTTCCTTTCTCTTGTAGCTTTTAAAATTCTCTCCTTATTCTGTATGTTGGGCATCTTCATTATAATGTGTCTAGGTGTGGATCTCTTATGATTTTGCACATTCGGTGTCCTGTAGGCTTCTAGGATTTGGGATTCTGTCTCATTCTTCAAGTCTGGGAAGTTTTCTTGTATTATTTCATTGAATAGACTGCTCATTCCTTTGGTTTGGAGCTCTGTACCTTCCTGTATCCCAATGACTCTTAAGTTTGGTCTCTTAATGTTATCCCATATTTCTTGGATGTTCTGCTCATGGTTTCTTAAAAGTCTTGCTGAGCTGTCTATGTTCTTTTCCAGTTGAAATACTTTGTCTTCATTGTCTGATGTTCTATCTTCTAAGTGTTCTACTCTGCTGGTAGTATTCTCCATTGAGTTTTTAAGTTGGTTTATTGCTTCCTGCATTTCTAGGATTTCTGATTGCTTGTTTTTTATAACCTCTATCTCCCTGTATAGTTGATCCTTTGCTTCCTGGATTTGTTTGCGTAATTCGTTGTCGAAGTGATCTTTCATTGTCTGATTTTGCTGTTTAATGTCTTCCTTGATACTCCAGATCATCTGAAGCATGTATATTCTGAATTCTTTATCTGACATTCCATCTGCTGCAGCTGTTACCTCTTCTAAAGTTGCGTTGACCTTCATTGCTTGTGGTCCTTTCTTTCCTTGTCTTTTCATACTGCTTGCGTATCTTTCCTGCAGGTGCGGGCGGTGGCTCTGCTCTCTCCTTATTCCAATTGGGGTGTCGTGGCTACCACGCCAGCAGGTCACTGGGCCTGTTCTGGGAGCTTGTGGCGGCTCTGTTCTGCCCCTACTCCAATTGGGGTGACCAGTGTACCACGCCGGCAGGCCACCGGGCCTGATCCGCCGGTCGGTTGCAGGTTTGCCTACCCTGCAGGCGCGGGCGGCAGCTCTACTCTGCCCCTACTCCAAATGGGGTGACGTGTCTGTCGTACCAGCAGGCCACTGGGCCTGTCCCGCTGGTCGGTCGCAGATCTGCCCACCTTTCGGGCACGGGTGGAGGCACTGCTCTGCCCCTACTCCAATTGGGGTGTCGTGACTACCCTGCCTGCAGGACGCTGGGCCTGTTCCTGGCAAGGGAGGCGACTCTGCTCTGTCACTACTCCAATTAGGGTGGTGTTTGTACCACGCCGGCAGGCTCCTGGGCCTGATCCGCCGGTTTGTTGTAGGTCTGCCTACCTTGAAGGCGCGGGCGGCGGATCTGCCCTGCCTCTCCTACCACGCCTGCGGACCCCTGGGCCTGATCTGCAGGTTGATCACTGGTCTGCTCACCCTGCGGGCACGGGTGGCGGTTCCGCTCTGCCCCCCACTCCAATTGGGGTCACGTGACCACCACACCGGCAGGGCCTGATCCGGGCGTGGGAGAAGGATCTGCTCTGCCCCTACTCGAGTTGGGGTGATGTATGTACCACACTGGCAGGCCACTGGGCCTGACCCGCCAGGCTGTCACAGGTCTGTTTACCTTGCAATCGCGAAGGGCGGCTCTGCCCTGCCCCTCCTACCACGCCCATGTACTACTGGGTCCTGGGTCTGCCCACCTGGCGGGTGTGGGTGGCGGCTCCGCTCCGCCCCCTCTCCAATTGGGGTCACGCGGTCACCACACTGGCGAGCCGCTCGGCCTGTTCCGGGGGCTGGCGGCGGCCCGGCTCCTTCCCTCTGGCTCGAGGACAAATTGAGGAGACTCGGGTGACTGAGCCTCACCCCCCTTACCAGGAGACCAACTGCTTATGTCACCGCTGGTATTGATGAAGATCTCTCCTCCACCGCTTTCTGCTGACATCAGATCTCTGCCATGTTGGTATCCTATGCGAATGGCAGCATTTCGTTCCCCTTGCCGGGCAACCCAAGCAACGGGTGAGTCCTGACCAGCCCTCAGCAGGACCCGGACAGAGACGCAGTTTCCGCGGGCTCCTAGCCCCGGTCCAGGGAAGTTCCGGGAGCCGGAACTCGGCCGCTCCGTGCTCGGTGTAAGCTCCTATAAGTGTAAGCTCCAAGAAGCAGCCCCCGCGGGCTCAGTTCCGGGAGCCGGAATTCGGCTTCTTAGTGCTTGGTGTTTGCTCTGATAGTAGCAGGGTCCAAGAAGCAGCCTCCGCAGACTCCGCAGCCCTGAGCCAGGGCAGTTCCGGGACGGTTCCGGGAGCCGGAACTCGGCCGCTCCGTGCTCGGTGTAAGCTCCTATAAGTGTAAGCTCCAAGAAGCAGTCCCCGCGGGCTCAGTTCCGGGAGCCGGAATTCGGCTGCTTAGTGCTTGGTGTTTGCTCTGATAGTAGCAGGGTCCAAGAAGCAGCCTCCGCAGGCTCCGCAGCCCTGAGCCAGGGCGGTTCCGGGACGGTTCCGGGAGCCGGAACTCGGCCGCCCCGCGCTCGGTGTTCACTCCGATAAGATCAGATTTTAAGAAGCACCCAGGCGCTGAACCCTAGCAATCTGTCTGCAAGCTGCAGGCGAATTGCAGCCTGAAATTACCTGTTCTATGGCTGAATGAGCTGCGGTCAGTCGAAAACAGGTATGGTGACGTCAGTTTACCAACATGGTGGCTGCTGGCCTCCTCTGTGGTCTGACCGGTGTGGAGAACCGAGATGGACCGCTTCCTTCCCCCGTCTCGAACCCAGAATTCAGCCCTGAGTGCGGTGCTTGCGCGGCTGGCAGAAACTGCAGCACTGTAACCCTGCGTCTCTATCCCAGCGCTTGCTGCAGACTCTAGCCGCGGGGCGATTTGCTGAATAAGCAGTGTTACCCTCCGTGCGACAAACCTCTTGCGTTTGAGTCCCCGTAGCCGATCCTCGTGCGATGGAAATCCTTCCTCCAGGTTCCGGCGCACCCCACTATTGCTGGAAATTCCTAACAAGATATCCTTTAGCCGTCCTGACTTGTCATACTCCCACACAGTGAAGCAGCACACGGGGGTAATGCACTCCCCTCGCCGCCATCTTCCTTCCCCCTCTCATCGAAAACACACACTGTTTAAGATCAGAGTTCAGCAAGCTTTTTCTTTGAAGGACAATACAATTATTTTAGAGTTTGTTGGCCATGTGTTCTCTGTCACAATTACTCAGTCCCATTGTATAAATGTAAAAGCAGCCATAAGATATACGTAGTGGATCAGTGTGGCTGTGTTTCTGTAAAACGTTTATGGACACTGAATTTGAATTTAAGATATTCTCATTCAAAAAAATAGTCTTTTTTAAATTTATTAAGTCATTTAAGTTTGTAGATACTATTCTTATCCCATGAGCTGTATTAAACAAGCTTCAGGTTGAATTTGATCTACAGGCTTTAGTTTGTCAATGCTTGGTTTAAATCATTTCTGTTCTAAATTTCTTTAGTAATTCTGATTTAACTCTAAAGTCATGTAACAGAGAATAATTGCTTGGCTAAGATTATGTCCTTGGGAGTCTTTAATTAAAAAGTGGAACATGTTAAAATACATTTGAGTCTGAAAGTAGAGAAATATGTTGGAATTTCACAGTAGAATTTATAGCAAAATCATTTTAATCTGATAGTCTTGGATCTTATTTAAGAAGTTAGTTAGTGATGAGAGCTGGGTGTGGTGGGGCACGGCTGTCTTTCCAGCTACTCAGGAGGATGGCTGGAGTACTGCTTTAGCCCAGGAGTTCAGGGTCAGCTGGGCCTTATAGAGAGACTATCTCTTAAAAAAAGGAGAAGGTAAAGTGGAGGGGGGAACTGACTGAAGCACATGAAGGACCTAATGAGATAACTTATGGTCTACAGATGATAACTTAAAATGAAGATTATTTTTTGTACATTACTTAAAGGTACTTTGAAGTTGCAACCTGCCCTCTAATAGTCACTTACAAGAATAAGATCTAACTTTCTGAGTTAAGGTATATTAGAAACTAAAGGATAGACAAGAGTTATAGTGGCAAAAAAAAAAAAAAAACTTCTTGAGATCAGATATTTTTGTCTCAATTTTATAACATATAATCTATTCACTGTATGCATTATGTAGCAATATCTCTTCCATCTTAAAAATTACCAAAAATATCCTATATGATGTGGTGTATTCCTAGCTATTAAACTATGTAGTACATAGATATTTATCCACAGGTAAATATCTGGAAGAATGTTCATGGTAAGTTAAGTGAAAAAGAGGTAACAAATCTGATTAAGGAAAAAATAGGTATAAATACAAATAAATTTGAATATACACAAACACCAATAGTGGCATCAATTAGTGGTGGATTTATAGACGTATAAACATGTTAGATGCTTAATTTTTATTTATTTATTTTTGTGATGTTTGGAGCTAATTCCAGGGCCTTACACATGGTAGGCAAGCACTCTACCACAGAGTAACATTCCCAGCTCCAATACCTCTATTTTTTTTAAATATTTGTTTTTAGTTGTCAATGGACCTTTGTTTTATTTATTTTTATGTGGTTCTGAGAATTGAACTCGGTGCCTCACACATGTTAAGCAAGCGCTCTGCCACTGAGCTATAACCCCAGCCCTGCAAAACATTTATTTTGATCTTGTTTCACACTGAAATTTGAGTGCTTCTATATTCTAAGAAATTTTAAGTAATAATTGGACAGTTAGTTCTCTACAATTCATGATTTATTTTTGAGTTGGCAAAGTATGTCTAAAAGCATCAAATAATATTTGATTAGGGATTCTTAAAAATACCTTTAAACTTTTATCACTTGCAATTGTTTTTCAGGGTAATGATGATGCTTATTTGTGTATCAATGAAGGTCAGACTGTTCATGTACAGCCTGCACATTTTTCAGGGCGAAGTCACCCTGTAATGGACTCTAGGGTGAGTGTGAACATTCTGGGAACCTCTGCCTGGCTGTGTACCTTCCTGCTATGTGGCTGTCACTGGCATGGCTGTGCAAACATAGTCTTTGACCCCCACAGTCATCAGCTTAACCCAGCAAGGGCCTGGCAGCAGCTTTTCTCTCTCATAGTGATCTCTGAGAAACTTCTCTGCACTTTAGAAAGCATAAGTTTCTCTTATAGGAAAAGATGAAGTCTTGCTTATGTCACTTAAATGCTTGTTGCATCTTATAAAAAGGTATTTTATGGTTTGTTAACATGGTCAGAGGTTTTGCCCCTTTTCAAAAGTTTGCAGACAAGTATTTTAAAGAAGAGACTTATGTTAGTGACAGCAGTTATTTCTTGACTGGTGAGAAAGAGGAACATGTATGGTAAAGAATGGTGCCTTGGGCAATGTCATTGTGTGCCCATTGTGGCATCTATGCCATTTCTGTTGAGGAGTTTCTCTTTCACAGGGCAATTGACCAACAAATGAGCTCTGAAGAGCAGTAGCTATTACTCAGTGACATAGCAAATGGGGTCTGACTAAGAAGTAGCTATCACGTAATGACATCACTGTGCATAGCTTTCCCATGGGCTTAGACTCCCTCAGGTGGCTTGGAACTTCTCCCCACCTACAGGTTGCATGAGGCCACTAGGGTGTTACCTGTTAGCTTCTCAAGTATTTTTGACTGTGTGCTAGTGCCAGATGGAATTAGCACATCTGCAAAAATTTCTAACCTGGGTAGAGGGACTGTGGGTTTCTGGCTCAAAGTAAAAATTATATTTCTGCCAAGTGGGATAAAGACAAACTGGGAGAAAATGCTTCTTGTACTCTTCAAAGAGGAAGTGCAAAAACAATAACATTGCAGATGAAACATGCACCTATGATCTTAAAGAAGGAAATGAACAGGATTTTGAACATATTATATTTGCACACCTTTGGGAAGTGCTGAGAAGACCCATTGTGTGTGTTTGTAGGATCCTCTTGAGGCTGTGGCTTGGAGGTTGGCGGATGGTGTTATGCAGTGTTCTTTCAGAAGAAACATTACCCTTCCTGGGGTTAAGAATAGATTTGATCTAAACACAAGCTACTACATATTTCTAGCAGATGGTACAGCTAATGATGGTAAGTACATGGATAAAAACTATTTTTGCAAGTTCTTTTCTCTTCTTCCCTTTCCTCTTTTTTTTTCCCCCAATGACTTTGTAATTGCTCATTTTTAGGTACACACTTGTGAATAAGGAGTTTTAACCCTTCTCCATTTTGCCTGAAAATCTGACTTTTGGTTAACATAGCTTGAGAACTACATAGTGTCAGCTGGGTACAAGGCAACATGGCTTATGATCAGAATGTTCTCTGGTTGCTAAAATGCATTTGGACCAGAAGAACTTTAAATACCTTGAAAAAACAAAACAAAACATATCTTTAGGTTTTCCTGAGTACAGTGAAATGAGCATGTCTTGGTGGGGATCCTAGAAACAGTGCCTTTGAAATTGTAATAAATGTTGACTCTTATGGGAAAACCTGCCCAATATCAGTCTCATCTCCTTAGACCTGAATTTTGTCCTGGAGTTGGGGAGGAGGTAAAGAGAAGGCTCCTGAACAGCTGAATGAGCGGTTTGAAGACTTCCCATGGAGAAGGATGCCTGGCACTGCCTTGCTGGTGTGGTGTATTTCCTGCCCTTCATCTTTTCTCATAACTCTGATGCACCTTTAGATATTTGAATGCTTACTTATCTTTAAAAACTCATATGAATAGAACAGTTAGATTTTGTTTAAGATCTTGGCAAATGATACTTTGAGGACATTCAGGAAATACCAGGGTAGTATTTAGTCACTCATCTTTAGAGAGATACAGTTGCCCTCAAGCTTAGAGAATGTAGCCTCTTTGAAAATGATGAATGTGGGCATACAGAATAGAAAGTCAGGGATCAGGTAGAAGAAAAGGAGGAACAGGAAAGGCAGAGCAGGCAGAATTGTGAAAAGCCTTGAATTTTTATTATGTGGTTTAGATTTTCTACAATTGGTAAAGTGGAGCTTCAAAAAGTTTGAGGCAGGATAAAGTATCTTTTCAGTATTAGAGAAAATTTAGGAACATTTGTAGATTAATTGTGGGTGACATATAGTTATATTAGTTAAATCATGTAATCTTATTTGCACCAGCAGCAACAGTTTTGGTTTGAAAATAATTTCTTTGTTAAATGATAATAATGGATAAAATTACTCAGTGTTTATAGAGTGTCAGTCAGTGTCTAAGAATTTTACATCGAGTATTTTCACATTCATAAAAAACAAACTAGATATGTACTATTATTATTATTCCCCTTCTCCTTCTTTCTTCTTCTTTTTTTCTTTTTCTTTTTTAAAGTGATGGGGTTTTGTTATGTTGCCCAGGCTGACCTTGAACTCCTGGACTCGTGATTCTACCTCAGTCTCCCAAGTAACTGATATAACAGATGTGGGACATTATGCCTGGCTGTTAGTCTTTTTTGTCAAAGGTTCTTGCCTCTTTGTTGTTCATCTGTTCTAGATGAACTTTAGAAATGATTTGTCAAATTTAATAAAAAATTTATTGGTTTTGATAGAAATTGAAATGAAATTTTAGATTAATTTGGAGAATAATGACTTCATAATAATAACTTCCTATCTGAACATATTAGGATATCCTTCTTATCTAGATTCTGTATAAGTAGGGATATTTATACAGTAGGGATATTTCAGTGAAGTGTTATGGTTTTATTCATGTATTCATATAGGGCTTATGTATTTTTTGTTACTTTTATCCTAAGTAATAGTTTTTTTCTAAAACAACTATTATGAATGAGATTGTTTTTCATCCATTTTCTAGTTTGTTGGCTTTTAGGAAAGTTACCAATTTTTGAGTATTCATCTTGAATTTAGCCACCTACTCTTTTAGTTGATTTTCTTAGGTTTTCTGGATATATGTGATATATGAAAACAGCAATAGGTTATAGCCTGTTTTCTTTCTTGTCTTATTGCATTGTCTCATTTTCTCAGAACAAATATCCCAGAATAATCCTCACATTCCTGGGATAAGTCTTACTTGATCATGTTTTATTCTTTTAATATATAATTTTAGTTCACTAATATTTAGTTTAAGCTTTTTCCATCTATATTAATAAGTGATTTTGGTCTATGGTGGGTGAATTGTATGTGCATTGTGTGCTTATGTGAATTCACACATACTAGTTTGGGTATCAGTGTACTGCAAATTTTATAAAATGAACTCTAGAAGAGTTTAAATTAAAAAAAATTAAAGTTATAAAAATTATTTTAATGGTAAGTGGAACCCATATATGTAACAGTCTGAGTGTGGATGAAAATACTTGGCTTACTATAAAAAAAATTCTACTATTATTCTGCAGAGTTACTACTTCTTTGTTTAATTTTTGTAATTCTCTGTTTTCCCAGAAATTTATCATTTTCATTTAGAGTTGGAATTATTTTTGGCTGATTTAAAATTGTGTGTAGTTATATATACTATAAGTATATATTGGTAGCTATATCACCTTGTTAATTTCTAACATTTTGATATTTTCTTTTATCTGATGGTTAGAGTTGCCATAAACTCAATGGATTTTATTGACCTTTATGGATTCATAGGTTACATTTTGTTGTTTTAAATGCATGTCAAATTAAATGATGGCTTTAATACTTTGTCTTTACCTTGATTATATCTATGTGTTTTGATATGACATATTTTCATTGTTATACATCTCTAAGAAGACTTGAGATTTTAGTTTTATTTCCTATTTAACCAGAGAGTTATTAGAAAGAATAGTTTATATACATTTATCTAGGTGAATCATTTTTCCTCTAGACTTTTGTTATTTTTTAGTTTTGCATTTTGGTCAGATGATATAACATGTAGCTTATATAATTTTTTGGAAACTATTAAATAGTCTGTGGCCTAATATATATCAGGCCATAAAATATTTATTTTGTTTGTAACAGAGGTTACTGTGTATGTGTTAATCAAATTTCTTAAATTATTTCTGCACTTATATAGTATTCTAAAAATATGTATGTTCCATAATTTATTTACTCATTCTCCTAGTGATGAACATTTTTTTAGTTTGTTTACAATAATCACAGCATAAAAAAGTTGCTGTGAATATTCTTATTAATCTTTGGTTAAAAAAAAGGTCTTTCTATAGGATAGATTCCTAGAATGAAAACACACACACACACACACACACACACACACACACACACTGAATAATTCTATACATTCCCACATTTAATTTTATATATAATAAGTACAAATAAAAACACTAATAATGTGTCCTCAATTTGTTTATGTCACAGTCATTTCGGATTTTGATTTGTGAGTCAAACTCAGTCTGAATTGACCGTATGCCAAAATACCTTATCACCAAGTTGCTTTTGCTTTGTCTCTCCACCCTCTTCTCCCAGGTTCAATTTTTGTTAGTTTATTCTAGGATTTTAGATGTAGGTGATGGCTAATAATTTGTAGATTTTTAAAAAATATGTATTCTCTTTCAAGAATTATATTTGACATTTTCAGGGTTTGTGACCATGATAGTATTGTTTTGACTTTTTGCTTAAGTCATTTCTTGCACAACAGCAGATCTTTTATCATAAATTTTCCATTTCTAGCTCTTGTTTAGATTCATCTCTCTTGGTGGATTGAATTATCTCTAATTATTTTTTCAGAAGGAGAGTGTGCTCTTGCATATATCTTTTATGCTGCTTTCACAGATGAATGACCTCTCTGTAGATATTTAATTATTTTTTATTACCTTTAGAAAGATTCTTTCTCCTCTATATCCATCCCTCAAGTCCTTCTCTCCTGAGAAACTAATTCTTTATTATCTTAAAAGTTTAAAATTTTTTTTCAGGTCAAATTTATAAGCACTCTCAGCAACCTTTGATTACATATGAAAAACATAATGTGACAGATTATCCTAAGAACATAGGGGGATCCCGATCTTCACTCCTTTTGAAGGTTCATGGTGAGATTCTTGTGTGGAATTATTAATACTTTATGGAATAAACTTACTGATGACTAAATGGTAGCAGGCATAATTTAGCAAATTTTCAAAAATATTTTATGTTTAATAAACATTTTTAGGTAGATTAATGATCTTAATGCTTGCTGATTTTGATTAAAAAGTAGAAAGTAGGGCTAAAAAAAGTATTCTAGTTGCTTCTAACTGCAGCCAGGGTTGAGTATCACTGAGTTAGTTAAATTAACTTTTATGAGACCATGATTTTTGGCATTTATTTAGGTAAATGCTAATGAAAGAATGGTCTTTGGTTTTGTTTGGTTATGACAGTAGTTTGGCTTCACAAGCGCAGATTTATTGATGAAGAACTGATCAAGGTGTAAGTATATGATGATGATAGGGAAATGGTACAGTGCATAGCCCCCATGCTCTTGACTGAGGAAAAGCACCAGGGAGGAAAGCAACAGCCTGGACACCAGGCTCTCTATCCTCTGGTTCTAGATTGGAACTTGATTCCTTTTGAAAAGTAGCCTGTCTTATTGTTGTAAAGATGGGGTTTTAACATAGGGAAATTGTATAGTGTAAGCATGCTCTTAGAAAACACGAGTGCCTCGGGGAATTTTCCTTCTTTGGTATTCTCCCTTTATATGCTTCAGAGTTATCTACAAATGTCACCACAATTAAGCTTAAGGGGATGAGATGTGAGAAGATTTTGAAATGACTGTAGACAGGCATAGTGTAATGCTGAAGAACACAGTTTCTGAAGCCAGTTTGGGTTAGAATCCTGATTTTGTACACTTGAACATGCTATTTAATCTCTCTGTACCTTAGTTTTCCCATTCAGAAAAATAAAACTGGAATAATAATTGCAAAATACCTCAGAGGATTGTTGTGAGGGTCATTTGGATTAATATGTGGAAAACACTTAGCTTTCTGGGATCATAGTAGGGCCAATGAAAGGTTAGCAGTGGTGGTAAGTGCTGGTACATAGGCTCTTTTTAGGTCGTATATGTTTTGCTGGCTGTTTATACTTTCTGAGCATTTGGGTTGGTCATTTAAGAAACAGCTTAGTTTGTGATGTCAACCATTGTATTTTTCTCACCTGTAGGTGCCTTAATGTTTGTGGCATGGATGACTACTGTTAGCATAGGGGTTCTAATTGCCCGGTTCTTCAGATCTGTTTGGTCAAAAGCTTTCTTCCTTGGAGAAGCAGCTTGGTTTCAGGTAGGTGAGGAAAAAAGTATTTAATGTAATTTACATATTATGTGAACATTACAACATGAAGTGTGTGTGTTTTGTTCTTTTTTTTTTTAATTTTAGCTATTTTGTGGGCTTAGGATCTTATTTTTTCCCTTTGGCTTCCTAACAATTGAGATCAGACAAGATGCTTGATGATTAAAAGACAGCTTTGTGGAAAGGCAGGCTGGATTGTTTGTCCTTTTGTAACATAGCCATTGGGATCCAGGTGACATTATACCTCTGTTTGTGAGGGGAGATGCTAGAGGAGCATTCACCCACTGTCTGAAGAAAGACAAGTCAAGGGAAGCTGGAGAGCGAAGAAAGAAATAGTGATATTTGCTGCATAGCAGAGCAGGGGTCTGCCTTTGGTTTATGGGCAAATGTTGGGCTATTCCTGACTTACCAAATTATCCCTGTGTGGGTGGGAAGAGAAACTGAAGGTGTTCCTTTCATGCTGTCCTTCCCAAAGGATGTGGAGTTAGTCTTCTATTGGGAACATAAGCAGGAGTCAGTTAAGTGCCCTTCACAGCCAAGCAAAACAACCTTGTCTTTCATGGGTCATGGATGACAGATTAGCACATATAGTGGAAGATCAGTGAGTGTGTTTTGAGTTAGAATGAAGATGCTTGCTTGTAGAAAAAAATACTGCTAATGGAATAGTTTTGACTTTATTAGAGGGTAGCCTTCATAGTCATATACATTTGTTGTCTAACCTCATTCCTCCTTACTGGTTGGCAGGGCTGTTTTATCTGTTCTCCCTTGCTGCAATGTGCCTGGCTGCTGCTCTCTGTCTGCCTGTTTTTGTGGTTATGCTCTTTCTCACTTGTATTTACTTGTTCTCCCTCTATTCTCCAATTTGCTCATGTGGATATTCCCAAATGGAAGAGTCTGTGCCTCCTGATTTTCAATTCAAATTCTTTGCTATCTTAAAGTATGGTGTGTATGTGTATGTGTGTGTGTGTGTTTTATAATGACATATATAGATACATTGAAGGTGAGTATACTATCTCCTTTCCCTGGAATAGTTTTGATTCACATAAGTTATCCATAGTTCATTAACAGAGCCTATTTTCACTCTTAATATTCTCTTGAGTTGTACAGTGAATTGTACATTTCATATATTTTTTAGGTAGCTACTCACTGATATCCCCAACTCGTCAGGAGACAGTATTTTCTGTTTCTTTACTGCCTCATGGCACCTGGTCTAGCACTGTGCCTCGTGGTGGAGCTTAATAAATGTCTTTGGGAGGAAATGAAGGACTTGGCAAGGAAGTGTGCTCCATGTGTGAAATTTGCATTCCTGCTGCTCTGTGTGTGTGAAGTCTTAGTAAATACTTTTGAATGCTGAGAATGGCAGCTTAGAGTTTTCTTTAAAGTTTAATGGTATATTAAAATTTTATTCTTATTGACCACAAGCTGTGCTTAGATGTCAGTCAGGTGCAAGCCTTCTGTGAATCCTACCCTGTGATCCTATTCCACCATCGCACTGACTCCTTCTCTTACACGTTTAGCTGCCTTTTTCTCACTTTGTCATCTCACCTTGCAGGTGCATAGATTGCTCATGCTTACCACATCTGTGCTCACCTGCATTGCTTTCATCATGCCTTTTATATACAGAGGAGGCTGGAGTTGGGTAAGTACATCTTAAACAGGATTTTTTTACATAAATCCATTTTGATGCCAAAGCAGGTTTCTGTTTCATTGGTGAATTATGGGTAAAAAGACATTCTTTGTGCATCCTTCTTAATTTTCTTTTTGGGTCATCTGATGACTGTCTTCAGTGCTTGAGCGTTGGGTTGGGTGAGGATGTCAGCACAGATTACCTGGTAATGAAATGTATTTTTAGGCTTCATCAGATGTACATCTATAGCTTAAGTGAGTTTTTCATTATAGAGTGGTGAAAATTGAAAGTGTGATGTTTATGGATCATGAACAACGTAAGTGGTTTCCTCGGACTGTGATTACTACCAAGCTGTATGTTACATCGGTGCTATGTGGCCATCTATGCTAAGTGCTTTCCTTGTGTTTTCAAATTTAAATGCCAGATGAAGTAGGTATTATGAAATAATGCCATATTATAAACGTAGAAACTAAGGCTTATTCCAAATGGTTTAACTCCAGCTCAGACCTTTGCCTTGGCTCACAAATCTATTTTAAGTATAGCTCATGTTTTCTACTGGCATGTTTAGGACATCTCAACTGAACATGTCCAGAATGGATTTCTTGGTCTTTTCTCCCCTTCCTGTTCCACCTGCTCCATTCCCATGTTAGCTGTTAGAGTTCCATCTTTAGACCAAATCTTGGAATTAGTAAGTGTGCTCTCCTGCACATCTCATATCTAATCCATCAGAAAACCCTATTAGCTGTATATTTAAAATACATCCATAAAGCAACACTCATAATTACCATCCCTGATTCTACTGTGTGGATTTGAGCCATCACCACCGTTTGCCTGAACTTTGACAGTAGTCACCTGTCTTGTCACTTCAATCCTTGCTCATATACAGTCTGATTTTCTTAAAGAAGGCAGACTGAATTTTTTTAAAAGAATATAAATTAGATCATGCCATTCCTTTGCCCTGAACTGGTTTCTCTGATGTTTCTCAGTTGTACTGCATCAAAGCCCATGTCCTTCCATTGACCTCCATAGCTTGGCTCCCAGTTATTCTCCTCCTCCTCTCCATTGGCCTCCTTGTTCAATGGCAGACAGGCCAGGCATGCTTTGTAAAGTCTCGTTTTCTGATCTTTGCAAAGATTCTTCCTTAGCTTTCCTCATACCCTCACCTTCTTGAAGTCTTTGCTCAAATAACAGCTTCTCAGAGAGCCCTGTACTCCATTTTTTAAAATATTATTTCATAAAATTTACTTATCTATCAGGCTTTTTTCCTTATGTGCTGTCCACATGCTAGTATGCAAGCTCTGTGAGAGCTGGAACATTTACTGATCTATCCCTGGTTTATCCCAGGCATCCAGAGTAGATTCTGGTACATAATGGTACTTGGTATATATTTAGAAAATCAATGAGTAGGCTTATTGAGAATAGTGACAAGCCTGAGTTCAGAGCCTGTGCTTCCATTGCACTCTTCCAGTTTTAAGACAGAATTTGATTTCACAATTTAATATTTCAGAGTTTACGTTGGTACTGCAGGGTTAATAAGTGTGGATCCTGGATCATAGATAGTACTAGAAAACCTCCCTTCTGCCTTTTAGGTAGTTTATGGATCAGTCAACCTGTTTTTTTTTTTTTAACCAATAAAGTTTGTCTGATATGAATTGAGACATCAGAACTCTATTTTACCAGGTATTTGCAACAGGGTGTTTTAGGCAGCTTTCTCACCACTATGACCAAAAAGACCTGACAAGAACAACATTGAGGAGGAAAAGTTTATTTGGGGCTCACAATTTCATAGGTCTCAGTCTGTCCCAGTCTGCAGATGGCAGACTCCATTCCTCAGGGCCTGAGTCAAGGCAGAGCTTCAGGACAGAAATGTGTGGTGGAGGAAAACAGCTCAGAACATCACACCAGAAGAGAGAGAGAGAGAGAGAGAGAGAGAGAGAGAACACAGATTAATGCACTGCTTGGGTTAAGGCTGTCATAATCCAATCATTTCACCTATAAACATTCTTGAATTGTCTTATACGAGTTTTTTTTTTTTGGGGGGGGATACCTCATATCTAAACCATAACAAAGGGTAACACTTGTTTTGTAATAGTCTTTGCATTTTATGAATAAAATAGTATAGTTGTTCTTCAGTATCCAGAAAGGATTAGTTTCAGGACTCCTTGGGGTACCAAAGTCTGCAGATGCTCAAGTCTCTTATGTAAAATACATATTACCTACAGACATCTTCCTGTATGCTTTAAATCATCTGTAGATTACTTATAATACTTAATGCAGTATAAATGCCATGCAAATACTTGTATTGTTTAGGGAATAACAAGAAAAAAGTCTGTACATATTTAGTACAGATGTAATTATTTTCTCAAATATTTTCCATTGGTGGTTGGTTGACTCTACAAATGTGGATCCCACAGATACAGAAGACTGACTGTGTGAAGGTTAAGGGCTCTATTCATTAGCCAAATTTCTTAGGTTCAAATCCTGGCATCATCATGTATCTCCTGGGACACCTTTGGGCAAATTACTTAACTTCTCTATCCTTTTGTTTACTTATCTATGAAATAGGGATGGCATAGTATCCATCCATAGTTTTTCTGTGTGGACTGGGAGTTGATTAACTGAAAACACTTTGGATAATCCCCAGAACATTCTAAATCCATATAAAAAATTTTGTTGTTGTGGCTGTTATTTCTTAAATTAAAGGTTCTTTAACCTCCATCATTGTGGTTGTACTTTTCTTTGTGTATAATTGAGTCCAAGATCTGAACATGTTTTTATATTGTTCTTTTGTCATCCTTTAGTTCACCTATTTACAAAGATTCCAGCATAGTTTGCACACCACTTAGTTTAGCTGTTCCTCGTCACAACTCTATTGCCCATTGGAGGATGGGAGTCAGTGACCCCAGACCATAGCATCTCTCCAACTAATTATGTTATAGGCTGGAGCATCTTCTCAGCCCTTTTCTCAAATGTTTATGTGAAGTCATTGTTCAGAGCAGTCTAATCCAATTACTTGCTATTTGGAGGAGCATACAGCATCACTAAGGAAGGAATATCATAGAAATTGTTGAGATTCAATGTTGATATTTTCCTTAAGTTAAACCATCTGAACAGAGGAGATAAGCTTTTAGTACAGTGACAAACCTGGATGTTCATTTATTCAACAGATGCTTATTGAGTGACTAAGACTCTACTAAGCTCCAGAGTTGTAGTACCTGCAACTTAGGGAAACACAGAGGTTCACACAAATCATTATGACATGTTGAGATGACAGCTCTTGACATATTGATACCAACTAGTTCTACCTTGTTGCCTTTTATTTTTAGCATCATCATCATCATCATTGAATGTTTAGAGCCATGGAAAAACACTAAGGACACATTTGTATTTATTATTTTTAACTTGAGGATTTAAACTGATGAGATATTGAGACTATTAATATGTCGTGACTTTGTTCAGCATGCAGGTTACCACCCATATCTTGGCTGTATAGTGACGGCATTAGCAGTTCTTCAGCCTCTTCTGGCAGCCTTCAGGCCACCTTTGCATGACCCAAGGTACTGATAGCTTTTCTGCGTAAATGCTCTTACTGTGGATATTCTTAGTTGGCAAACAAATTCCTTTTTGAGTGGAAACATTTTTCATCTTACAAAACCTAGTGATAAATTTTATTTACTTTAAAGAGACTTTAAAATATATTTCAGATATCTAATTCTCAGGCAATAAGCAAAATTACATGCTTTTTATTCTCTTGGGAACTCATTGTCATTCTGTCACTTCTAAGAAAACGGACTGGTTCTTTATTTTGGCAGAAGGCAAATGTTTAACTGGACTCATTGGAGTGTGGGAACAGCTGCTAGAATAATAGCAGGTAAGTAATTGTGATGCCACTTATCCATATATAATTGCTGGCTGTGTATATTTCGAGTTGTAATTTGGCTTAAAAGATTTTTAGATGCATTGGTAATTGGAGTAATTGGTTGTTGAGGAGAAATCAGCCTTAAACATCGAAATCCAGAAAGTAATTTCAAGGGGTAACAATTTAAGTCATTATTTCAGTTTAAAGTTTTAAAAGTGACTTTAAAACTCACCTTTTAACACTTTCTTTTATTTTTATTAGTGTTTACCTTTACCAGTAGAATAAGCTATGCTGACAGGCAAACATTTGAGCAGTTCAAGTTGAGGGTCATTTGTGAGTTGGGTTGAGGAGGGGCTGTTGGTCCAAGCCCTCAGTCTCCAGGTCACTTCCATAGGTTGGTACCTCCCAGGGGAAATGGCTTTCAGAAGGCAGGTATGGTTACCCAGTACATATTGATGCCTTATATAGCAGACCTGCATGCAGACACCTCCTCCCTTAACATTTCTGTGGTCTATAGGATTTAGCCTGGAAGAGGAAGTACAATTGGCAGTGGTGTCCATAGTTTTTCCCCTTCTTACACTGGAGACTTAAAACTTTCTGGAAAGTTTGAATGCCTCTTTCTAAAAGGCAGCTCATAATTTCCTATCTTGCCTGTGTAGTCTTACAGTTAAAAAAAAAAGAATTAATTACTCTTTGGTCTTCAATATTCTTCTTATTCCTCTCACCAATTTTAGTATGTTTTAGTTGATATAATGCTCACACACAATTTTATCTTTTGGTGGGGACCATAATTGAATATAACATTTTTTCTTTTACACTCAGTGGCAGCAATGTTCCTGGGAATGGACTTACCAGGATTGAATCTTCCCCATCCATGGAAAACCTATGCAATGATTGGATTTGTAACTTGGCATATCGGGACTGAGATTGTTCTGGAGATACATGCTTATCGACTCTCTCGAAAAGGTAAAACTGCTCTAAAAGCTGTTCTGTGTAGAATCACTTTTATACAAACTATTGGAATTTCATTAGCTTCTTGGTACTAAGTGCTTGACTGTTACTTGGTACCTCTAACACTTTCTGCTCACAATTCAGCCAGTGGTAGCAGTTGTGGAAATTTTATGCCTTGGTGGCTCTATTTTATTTATTTATTTATTTATTTTTGTATATGTTGGTATTAGAATTTGTGAGTAAAAATATAAAGGAGAGATTTCAAGTTTTAAGGAAGAAGTCCTCTTCATAACTACTTTCACTGTGCATGTTGATCTGACCTGAGCCAGTGCCCATGAGAATTTGGAGTGCCTGGAGTTGAGGGAACTCTGAGAGGAAGGAAGAAGAGATCCAGAGTCGACACAGGGCAGAGCTGCAGACGGATTTTATCTATTTGATAAACTTACTAAGTGCTGTGGCTTAGGTTGGCATGTACATAAATATATAGCTGGGAGGACCTACTTTTATTATGCTTTCAGTGGAAAGCTCTGTTTGGTCTTTGTGACAAGGAGGGTCAAGATGCCTATAGCCACCATAAGCTTAAGTGTCCTCTCACTTTCAGGCAAGTGATCTTCTAAAAACAAAAACTCTTTGTTGTCTAGAGTACATGTTGTGAATCTAGAAGGCTGGGCAGCTTTTAGGAGCCAAATAATGTATCCCTCCTGCCACTTTTGGCTTTTGTCAGGGTTATGTACATGGGATCTCTGAGGACCACTAAATTATGGCTTACTGTTTAAAATACATACATTCTTAAAACTTGGATTGCTATCATATGTTAATTAGCTTGATTTAGCAATTCCACAATGTATACATATATCGAAACATCATGTGATACTCTATAAATATATGTATATACAATTTTAATTTGTTAATTAAAAAAGTAAAATTAGAATGATTTAGATTTTTAAGCTTTTGGTGTGTTTATTGAGTAGGAGAGCTTATTTTAGGTCCTTTGACAGATGTGTGCTGTATTCTAGTATGTCTCAATTTGTGAGAGTCATAAATGTTCAGGAAGTTTGTAAGATTTAGTAACTTGAAACTGGAGAACTTACACCCTGGAAATTGGTGCACACAAAGAATTGGGTTTTATTTTATATTTCTGAGAGTTAGTTTGCCTGCTTAACACTGGACTTATAAACATATGTTGTTCTTGACAGTTGAAATATTGGATGATGATAGAATTCAGATCCTTCAGTCACTTACTGTAGCTGAAGCAGAGGTAAGCCCTTCTTTTCATGTTTATTGACATAAACCTTGATGATGGTACATTATTTTATATCTCAATTTTTCTTTCAGGGCCATGCTTTTAAAAAGATGGTGTTGGCAATTTATGTCTGTGGGAATGTGACTTTCCTCATCATATTCTTATCTGCAATCAACCATGTGTGAGCAAGGAAAGACCTCACTTTTTGTGGGCCGGGTAATAATTATCATCAAACCAAAGAAACATGAATCCCGTACTGACTGCCGGGAGCATACTCTTGGATTCTTATTTAGAAGAGTAGGATCATGTCTAGAAAGGGATTCTGAAGTTCAATTTCTACAGAGCAAGTTCAGGAAGGTCAAATGGGGTATAAACTGATGTCAGACCCTGATGTGTACTTCTGTGTCTTAAAGGCAGCATTATACATGGAGAAATAACTCTCTTATATTCCAAGACTTTTAAGAAACTTAGAATTTAAGAAAACACAAGAACAATTTGGAAAAACAAAATATCATGCCATTAGGATAAAAGGGACATTTTATTAAGGTAAAGATATTTTGGCCTACAAAGCTGCTGTGGTACCTTACAGAAAACATTTTCACTAGATGGTAATCTAGATGGTCTTTGAATTTGTGTTTTGTTTGTTTTGGTACCTGGGATTGAACCCAGGGGCAGTTAACCACTGAGCCACATCCCCAGCCCTTTTTATATTTTATTTAGAGACAGGGTCTTGCTGAATTGCTTAGGGCCATGTTAAGTTGCTGAGGCTGGCCTCAAACTAGTGATCTTCCTGCTTCAGCCTCCCTAGCTGCTGGGATTACAGGTGTGTGCCACTGTGCCCAGTTGGACTTTTTATTAGAAACTATGTTTTTCAATCTAGTTTTCAGGACATTTTATTTCCTCCCTGTATTTTAATGCTTTTCAGGTCAAAGGTGGAAGTGTGATAGACTCCATTGAGGGTTTCATTAACAATTATATTATTAGACTTATAATTTCTTTGTTAGCAATGAAATGCAAGTATACATATTTTGCCTAAATATATTATTTATTTATCGGCAGAGCTGAAATGATAATTTATATGTTATTTTGAGTATAAGTCCTTACAGCATTTGGAGATTGTATTTCAAAACTACCAAAATTCATCCTTTTGGACATATTTAAAAATTATTTTCTTTACTTGTGAAAATAAAATAATATGGGTGGTTTTGTTTTGTAAGAAGCTCCTGCTGTTGTAATGGATTAGTACAGTCAACCCATTCCAATTATGGCCAGGTGTCATACTTGCTATGAGGACTTGTAACCAGCGGGTGGTGCTCTAGTACAAAATACTCATTTGTTTCTCTTGTGCTGTGATTCATTTTAGTACTTAAAACATTATGGGGTGGCATTTTCCTACATATTATCAGCTCTTCTTAATATTCCTTTGAAAAATTCCTGCATTTTTTTGTTGGTTTAGGGCAGTGGTTGTAGAAACTTGAATTAGGGGCTGGTGTTATTCTTTTCTAGTTTCATTTCTGTTTTCTAATTGTGGATATTTATAAGAGTTGTTGGATATTTCCTCTAGCAAATGTATACAATCACCATAGGCAAGGGAAACAAGCAAAATGTACGTTTTTAAGATAAAAAAGCATAGGGGTCATCCTTAATTTTTTAGGTATTCTTTATTTCTTTGGGTATTGTGTTATAGTTTCTGCTTGGTCCAAGAGCCTGATTTCTTTCTGTAAATAATGGCTTAGCTGTCTACCACACATCTTTTGCTGGATGAAGTGATATGGAAGTTTTCTTCTTGTTGCTTATATAGGTGTTCAGCATAAGTAGCTTAGGGCATAGTGCCATGTTACTTATAATCTAAGCATTCCTTGTGAATGTCTATTAAAAATTAATATAGCAAAGTAAATGTGCACTAAAATATTTCAGTTTTTTAATAAGGGGATTAAAAGCAAGACATTTCTCTTAATATGTTATATTTTATATCTGGTAAAGAAAAATTCTTTCAGGGAAAGGTGAGCCTTATTATGTTTGAGTTTTAAGTGGGCTTGCTGGGTTTCAACTGCTGAGGCCGATATCACAACTTTTTGTTTTTCACTGATTCATATGTTGGTGCTATTCTGATACTTCTTCAACTGACATATAGAACTATACAAAGAAATATTTGTCACTTAATCTTAGTAGACCAGATCTTTTCACTAGGACCAAATTATGATTCTTCTACTGATGAATGATTGGTATCCATAAATTACAAACACTTATTCTTTGCTCTTCCGAGGTTTGATTCCTGTTTCTAGGTAGTTAAAAAAAAATTCTTTTGATCTGTGTGATTGTTAAGCTTAAATACTTTATACTTGGTCAGTGTTGCCAAAAACAGTGTGCAAAATCACAAATTTTTTTTTAATTTTTTGTTTAAGAAAGTTGCTCTATAAAATAAAGTAAGTATTTTTTTTGGAAAAAAAATGAAACAAGTTCTAGAAAATTGTGGTTAAGGTAGCATTCATGACTGAGGCTACTTTTTATTTTTATTTTTTTATAGTCTGTGGAAATCAATTTTAAGTGTGCATAGGTAGTCTATAGCATGAGTTACTGAATAAGTGAAGCAAATTCACTTTAGTAGTTAGTTGGATTTATCAGGATTTCTGGCTCACTTTAATATGTGTTAAGTGATACCTCATCCCCTCCACATCTGGCCTCAGTCCAGGATGCCATGGGAAAAAGACAAATATAACAGATGCCAACTAGGAAGCTCCAGGGGAACATGTAACTGTTGGCTGAAATTCTGTTTATCTATATACTCTGGAAAAGCAGTGGGAAGAAAAGAACAAAGGTCTTTGTTTAAGAAAATGCTTTATAGGTGGGAATGAAAGAAAAGATTCTTCTAAGTTCTTTTCAAACCAGATTAGGATACTCACTGTTCCTATCCATATCCTGCTGCTTTCTTCCTTGCCTAGTTCCTACCAAGTTCAACTGTGTACCAGGGTCACTGAAGTTACCCACCTCGAATGGTCTTTCTCTTCCCAGCAAAAGCTAGTTTTTCAAGTTTGGTTCAAGTTCTTACTTCTCTTTGGAGTCTTCTCTGACTCTGTCCAACGTGGGTCTCATTTGTCCTGACCAACAGGATGGTGTGGAATGGGAGGAAGCTCACTCTATAAGTTTAAAAAGGAGTGGGAGGGCTGGGGCTATAGCTCAGTAGTAGAGCACTTGCCTAGCATGTGTGAGGCACTTGGTTCAATCCTTAGCACCATGTAAAAATAAATAAATAAAGGCATTCTGTCCATTTACAAGTACAAAAAAAAAAAAAAAAAAAAAGGATGGGAACAGAAGACCTGAGTATCCAGGTTTGCCTGTAGACTAACAAGCTGCATTATCTGCTGTGAGTCCCATTTATTCTGAAAAACCCGTGAACCCGTGTCACTGAACATTTGTGAGAACTGAGTGAAATGTGCCAGCCAGAGGTGCTTGCTATCTCACTGCCATTTATGCCATCTATGCTGTTTGATTACAGTATTAAACTTTAATAGTTTTTGTCTATAAAATGTGTGCTTTGTGTTATGTAAAATACTTGATGTTTTTCTTGAAGCATTATGTTAAATTAAATGATACAAAAAGACAACCATTAAATGATTCCATTTATATTGGCACTTACAGTGGTCAAAAATTTGTGGAGAGAGAAGGTAGAATGGTGGTTATTGGGGTCAGGGGTGGGCAGTAATAAAGGGAATGGGAGTTGTTTAATGGGTTTTTGTGTTTGGGATGATGAAATGTTCTGGAGATGAATAGTGTTGATGGTTGTACAACGTTGTGAATGTATTTAATGTGCTGAACTCTACACTTCACAGTGGTTAAAATGGAAAACAAAAATAAGTTATGAATAAATAATAAAAAAGGTAGAAAAAAGTGTTTATAGCAGCACTATTCACAATGGCCAAATGATGGAAATGACCTATATGTCCCATCAATGGATGAATGGATTGTAGTGTGTACATACAGTGGAGTATTATTCAAACATAAAATGGAATGAAACACTACTACATACTATAATATGGACCTCACAATATTATACTAAATGAAAGAAATGAGACACAAAGGTCACATATTTATATGTAATATCCAGAATAGGTAAGTCCATAGAGACTGAAAGCAGATTAATAGGAAAACAGAGGATTGATGGCTGGGGTAACTGCAGTCCTTAGGGGTGGGATGGAGAGTTCCTGGAAGAAAACTTTAGAGATATACGTAAAGTCTGAAGAAAGGCATCTGTGGAAAACCTACAGTTTACATCATCATCAATGGTGAATGATGGGACACATTCCCCATTAGCAGGTTCAAGACAAAAGTCTTCTCTCAGGTTTGCATCAAAATTGTCTTGGAGGTGCTAGCAAGGGTAATTAAGAAAAGAAATGAAAGGCATCCAGATTGGAAATAAAGAAACAAAATTTATGACTTTTCATATACAACATAATCTATATGGGAAATCCTAAGGTATCCATCAAGCAACTACTAGAAGTAGTAAATGAGCTCAGCAGAGTTGCAGGATTAAAAAGTCAACATTTCCATCTTCAACATCTCTAGCAATTAAAGAAATGCAAATTAAAACTACACTGAGATTTCATATCACTCTAGTCAGAATGACAATTATCAAGAGTACAAGCAACCATAAATGTTGGTGAGGATGTGGGGGAAAAGGTATGCTCATACATTGCTGGTGGGACTGCAAATTGGTGCACCGATTATGGAAAGCAGTATGAAGATTCCTCAGAAAACTTGGGATGGAACCAACATTTGACCTAGCTATCCTACTCGGATTATTCCCAAAGGATTTAAAATCAGCATACTACAGTGACACAGCCACATCAATGTTTATAGCAACTCAACTCACAATAGCTAAACTATGGAACCAACCTAAGTATCCTTCAATAGATGAATAAAGAAAATGTAGTGTGTGTGTGTGTGTGTGTGTGTGTGTATATATATATATATATATATATATATATATATATATATATATATAAGGGATTACTACCCAGGAACTAGAGAATATCATGCTAAGTGAAATAAACCAATTCCCCAAAACCAAAGACCAAATGTTTTCTCTAATATGTGGATGCTAATTCACAATAATGTGGAGGAGGGGCTATGGAAGAATAGAGTTACTTTGGATTAGGCGGAAGGGAGAGGAGGGAGTTGGGGGTAGGAAAGGTAGTAGAATGAATCAGATTATTACCCTATTTGCATATATGAATACATGACGGGTGTGATTCTACATCATATACAACCAGAAGAATGAGAAGTTATGCTCCGTTTATGTATGATGTGTCATAATGCATCATATATAACTAATTAGAACAAATCAACATTTCCAAGTCAAAGAACAGTCTTAAAGTGAAATTAGGAAAATAAAATTCCATTTATAACAGCATGAAAAAAATTAAGTTTAACAAAAGATATGCAAGACTTATACACCAAAAACTACAAAATGTTGAAAGAAAGTAAAGAAAAGCTGATGAAGTGGAAATAAATCTCACATTCAGGGATCAGAAGACATGTTGTTAATATTGCCCTACTTCCCAGCTGATCTACAGATTTAACAAAACCAGAGTACAAACCCAGCTGGCCCTTCTTGAAGAAATTGAAATGCTGACCCTGAACTTTCCACAGAAATGCAAAGGACTTAGAATAGCCAGAACAAAATTAAAAAGGGACATAGCTGAAGAACATTCTTCCCAGCCTCATAACCTACAAAGCAAGGCAGCCTGCAATAAGCCAATCCCAAAAAACCAAAAGCCAAATGTTTTCTCTGATAAGCGGATGCTGATCCATAGTGGGGCTGGGGGATAGGGAAGAATGAAGGGACACTGGTTTATGTACAGGGGAGTCAGGGGAGTTGGGGGGGGAGCTGTGGGGATGGGAAGGACATTATAATGAGACAGACATTATTACCCTGTATACATGTATGATTACACTAGTGGAGTGACACTGAACCATGTTCAGCCAGAGGAATGACAAATTGTGCTCCATTTGTGTACAATGTCAAAATGCATTCTACTGTAAAATAAATAAATAGACCTTAAATGGAAATATAAGACTAAGCTTTTCCTGACTTTGGATTATACATCAGTTTCTTAGAACACCAAAATATGATTTAAACCCCCTTCTGATATAGTAAGCCTTATCATAATTAAATGTTTTTTTTTTTTCAAATGACACTCTCAAGAATGTGAAGACAACCCACTTACTGGGAGAATATATTTTCAAATCATATAAGAGACTACTTTTTGGAATATATAAGGAATTTTTATAACTTAGTGAGAGGTAGACCCATTATAACTAAAGTAGAACAAATTGTTCGAATAAACATTTTTTTATAAAAATTTACAAGTGGGCAATGAACTCATGAAAATATGCTCAACATTGTGAACACATTAGAGATATGCAAATTAAAACCACAGTGAGACACTAGTATATATCCCACTAGAATGGCTATAATAATAATTTTTAAAAAGGCAGGTAAACAGATGCAGGCAAGGATGTGAAGAATTCAGAACCCTCATTTATTGTGAACTTAAAATGGTGCCACCATTTGGAAAATATTTTAGCAGTTTCTCAAAATGTTGAGCAGAGAGTTGCTACATGACCCAGCGATCTTATTCTTAGTTATGAACACAACAGAATGAGAACATATGCACAAAAAATTGATTATAGGAATATACATAGCAGCATTACTCATAATAAAAAAAGTAGGAAGAACTAAATGTCTTGTCTGGGATAAAAGTATAAACAAAATGTTTATATTCTCACACTGACATACTGTCTGGCAGTTAAAAGGAATGAAGTACTGATACATGCTGCAATCAGGGTGGGTGAATCTTGAAAAACTTTATGCTGAGAGAAGCCAGCCACAAAAGGTCGCATTGTATGATGGATTCTCACTTCTGTAAGTATGCAGAGACTATTGAACTCTATCGTATGTATATTCAATAATGACTTTTTAAAAATTTGAGGGAGGGCTGGGGATATAGCTCAGTTGGTAGAGTACTTACCTTGCATTTACAAGGGCCTGGGTTCAATCCCCAGCAACACACACACACAGACAGAAAAATAAAATTAAAATGTAAGGGAAGAGTAGACATCTTGCTACAATCATATTTGGCAGATTTCAATATTCTTCTCTATGCAATTGATAGAACTAAAGAAGCATCAACATAGATGTAAAAATTTGATTAGCAGTTATCAGCCACTGTGCCTGACATTTACATAATGACTATAGACTATACATTCTTTCCAAGTGCTTAGCATGGTGTATTCACCAGATAGATTATATATTGTGCCCTTGAAGTCTTGATGTATTTAAAAAGATAAAATTGTAGAATGTGTTTTGTGATAAATATTAAATTGAAAATAAATATCCAGAAGATAACCTTGGAATTTCTCAAATATTTAGAAATTAAATAACATGTAAGAGCAATTAGAAAATAGATTGAGCTGAATTAAAATGGAAATAAAGAATCAAAATGTGTGATTATTAAATTAACTCAGTGTTTGGAACTGTACTGTTAGACATATGTAGTTATATAGATTTAAAGATGAATTTAAGATTCTGTTTCTTAGATTCAAGTGCTCAATAGCCACATGTGGGTAGTAGCACAAAATAATTTCCATTGTCACTGGAAGTCCTCTTGGACTATGCTCGAATAGAAGGAAATACAAAGCCTTGCCAGGTGTTGTGTTGCACGCCTGTAATCCCAGCAACTCCTGAGGCTGAGGCAGGAGGATCTCCAGTTCAAGATCAGCCTCAGCAATTTAGTGAGTCCCTAAGCAATTTAGAAAAGCAAGGGTGGGGGGTTGCTAGGGATGTGGCTCAGTGGTAAATGCCCGTGGGTTCATTTCCTGGTTAAAAAAAAGGAAATGTAATGTCCTAAATGTTTACATTAATAGAAAAGAAAGATTCATAATCCATAATCTTAAGTTTTTTTCAGAGAGAAGAAAGAAGGAATTAAACACAAGGTAAGTAGAAAGAAAAAAGGTAAGTATAAAGATAAAAACAGAAATAATCAAATATAAAATAGATAAGTAACAGAGAAAAATTACTGAAACAAATCTGATTTGTAATAGAAATTCATGCAATTGGTAATCTTGGCTAGATGATCATGAGAAAAAGAAGATGCAAATTTCAGGAATAAAAGAGGACAATGCTGGGCTGGGGCTGTAGCTCAGTGACACAGCACTTGCTTTGCAGGTGTGAGGCCCTGGGTTTGGTTCTCAGCACCACACAAAAACAAACAAACAAACAAACAAATAAATAAAAAGACGACAATGCATTATTGATCCTGCAAACATTAAAAAGATGATTAGATGGGCACAGCAGCACACATCTGTAATCCCAGCAGCTCAGGAGGTGGAGGCAGGAGCATCTCTAGTTCAAAGCCAGTCTCAGCAAAAGCAAGGTGCTAAGCAATTCAGTGAGATCCTGTTTCTAAATAAAATACAAAATAGGGCTGGGAATGTGGCTCAGTAGTTGAGTGCTCCTGAGTTCAATCCCTGGTACCAGGAAAAAATAAATAAATAAATAAATAAATAAATAAAAATAAATTCCATCCTCCAAAAAAACCACAAAGCACTTTTGCACATCAAAGGAAAATAG